CGGAGGACAGAGCGACAGCGGCAGCAGCAGCAGGAGAAACAGGAGGACGAGGAGAAAACACTGGAGGAAACCTGGCAGAACGGAGACGGAGGAGGAAAGGCCGTGTGGAGGAGGACAGGGCAAATCAGGAGGAGAGGGAGAACGATGAGGTAAGAAAGAAGAGCAACATGAGTCGAAGGAAGATGGCGACGATGTGTTCAGAAAGATTGTGTTCACGGCTGTCCCTATGGATCTGCATTCAAAAGAACCCTGTGTATCTAGGGTTTGCCCCGTAAGCCCCCATTGAAATTTTCTTCCAATGTGATAGGACCCTCCTGGATCTGGGATCTTCTCCGTGTCACTTGAAATCCGAATAGACGCTCATTCAAACCCAAAGAAACCTTCTGGACCTTGGATATGCTCCGTGCCAATTGATTTCCGGTTTGAGGAGAGCGAGGGATGATTTTGCTAAGACGCGATTGATATGAAGCTGGGGGAGATGAAGTATATGGGATGAACGTGCACATGAGTACACTTCTAAATGAGATGTGTGATCCCAAGGGGGTAGGTATATCTATATATATATATATATATATATATATATATATATACTAGAACCACGCGCGCGCTTCGCGCGCGCTTAGGTTCTGTCGAGTCACAGACCCAGGAATCGTTGTGAGAAGAAATTGGTGACGCGAAGCGTCGTGGGGGCGTCCTTGGACGTCTGGGGTCTCCTGGGGCCTCTTGAGGGGCCTCCTGGGGGCCTCCTGGCGGCCTCTTGGGGCGGAAGGCTCGAGCTTGCGGTTCGTGGTCCCCCTCTGGGCCCCCTCTTGGGCCCGTCTTGGGGCCCTCTTGGGCCATCTTGGGCGCCTCTTGGGCCGTCTTGGGGCCCTCTTGGGCTGTCCTGGGGCCCTCTTGGAAGCTTCTTGGGCCGTCTTGGGGCGGTCTTGGGCGCCTCTTGGGCCGTCCTGTAACGTCGGAAAGCCCAAAAGACAACTTTGTTGAAAATGTACGTTTTACGAAGGGAATGGGCCAATTTTTGCGTCTAGGGGCCCTCTTGGGACGCATGTTGGAGGCTTCTTGGGGCCTCTTGGGGGCGTCCTTGGACGTCTGGGGTCTCCTGGGGCCTCTTGAGGGGCCTCCTGGGGGCCTCCTGGCGGCCTCTTGGGGCGGAAGGCTCGAGCTTGCGGTTCGTGGTCCCCCTCTGGGCCCCCTCTTGGGCCCGTCTTGGGGCCCTCTTGGGCCATCTTGGGCGCCTCTTGGGCCGTCTTGGGGCCCTCTTGGGCTGTCCTGGGGCCCTCTTGGAAGCTTCTTGGGCCGTCTTGGGGCGGTCTTGGGCGCCTCTTGGGCCGTCCTGTAACGTCGGAAAGCCCAAAAGGCAACTTTGTGAAAAATGTACGTTTTACGAGGGGAATGGGCCAATTTTTGCGTCTAGGGGCCCTCTTGGGACGCATGTTGGAGGTTTCTTGGGGCCTCTTGGGGGCGTCCTTGGACGTCTGGGGTCTCCTGGGGCCTCTTGAGGGGCCTCCTGGGGGCCTCCTGGCGGCCTCTTGGGGCGGAAGGCTCGAGCTTGCGGTTCGTGGTCCCCCTCTGGGCCCCCTCTTGGGCCCGTCTTGGGGCCCTCTTGGGCCATCTTGGGCGCCTCTTGGGCCGTCTTGGGGCCCTCTTGGGCTGTCCTGGGGCCCTCTTGGAAGCTTCTTGGGCCGTCTTGGGGCGGTCTTGGGCGCCTCTTGGGCCGTCCTGTAACGTCGGAAAGCCCAAAAGACAACTTTGTTGGAAATGTACGTTTTACGAAGGGAATGGGCCAATTTTTGCGTCTAGGGGCCCTCTTGGGACGCATGTTGGAGGCTTCTTGGGGCCTCTTGGGGGCGTCCTTGGACGTCTGGGGTCTCCTGGGGCCTCTTGAGGGGCCTCCTGGGGGCCTCCTGGCGGCCTCTTGGGGCGGAAGGCTCGAGCTTGCGGTTCGTGGTCCCCCTCTGGGCCCCCTCTTGGGCCCGTCTTGGGGCCCTCTTGGGCCATCTTGGGCGCCTCTTGGGCCGTCTTGGGGCCCTCTTGGGCTGTCCTGGGGCCCTCTGGGAAGCTTCTTGGGTCGTCTTGGGGCGGTCTTGGGCGCCTCTTGGGCCGTCCTGTAACGTCGGAAAGCCCAAAAGGCGACTTTGTTAAAAATGTACGTTTTACGAAGGGAATGGGCCAATTCTTGCGTCTAGGGGCCCTCTTGGGACGCATGTTGGAGGCTTCTTGGGGCCTCTTGGGGGCGTCCTTGGACGTCTGGGGTCTCCCGGGGCCTCTTGAGGGGCCTCCTGGGGGCCTCCTGGCGGCCTCTTGGGGCGGAAGGCTCGAGCTTGCGGTTCGTGGTCCTCCTCTGGGCCCCCTCTTGGGCCCGTCTTGGGGCCCTCTTGGGCCATCTTGGGCGCCTCTTGGGCCGTCTTGGGGCCCTCTTGGGCTGTCCTGGGGCCCTCTTGGAAGCTTCTTGGGCCGTCTTGGGGCGGTCTTGGGCGCCTCTTGGGCCGTCCTGTAACGTCGGAAAGCCCAAAAGACAACTTTGTTGAAAATGTACGTTTTACGAAGGGAATGGGCCAATTTTTGCGTCTAGGGGCCCTCTTGGGACGCATGTTGGAGGCTTCTTGGGGCCTCTTGGGGGCGTCCTTGGACGTCTGGAGGCCATCTTCAGCATCTCGGAGCCCTCTTGGAGGCCTCTTGGAAGTTTCTTGGGCCGTCTTGGGCGCTTCTTGGGCCGTCTTGTCTGACTGGGGAGGCCTCCGGCAAGCCCCGACGAGCCTCCGGGCCCCCCGGGGTGCACATTTGTGGTCGAGGTCCCGGCCCCGGGCCCCCGGACCCGGTGCGCCGATATATGTGTATATATATATATATATATATATATATATATATGTACGTATGTACATGTCTATAAAGTAGTGCAACTATACGACCACCCTGCGGGTGGTACGGAGGTTGGTTGGGGGGAGAAAGAACCAACTGTCGATCTCATTATAGATCTCCATATCGGCCTCATGATCGACCTCAACATCGATGTCACCACAGAATACCACAGGACACCGATGGGACACCGACGGGACACCCGCGGGACACCGCCAGGACACCGACGGGACAGCGACGGGACACCGACGGGTTACCACGGGACACCATCGGGACACAATCGGGGCACCAATCGATCACACGTTCGATCCCACTATCGATCTCACCATCGTTCTTACTATCGATCTCACTCGCTCGATCTCACGATCGATCTCATTATCGGCCTCACTATCGATCTCACCATCGATCTCACCACGGGACCGGCGGGACAGGGACGGCACAACCACGGGACAGCGACGGGACAGCCACGGAACACCAACGGGACACCGACGGGACAACGATGGGACACCTCGGCGTGACAACCCGGCCACCGTCCGCCCACCGCGGGGGAGAAGCGAACAACGACGGGACACCACGGCGGGACAACCCGGCCACCGCCCGCCCACCAGGGAGGGAGGGCGGAGGGGCAGTCAACGGCTCTTGACCCGCCCTAGGCAGCGGAGTCATTCCCCTCGCCCGCCCACGCAGCTTCGCTTCGCCCGCACGCATGACACGAACCCGAAACCGAAACCGCTTTTCCAGCGGGGGGCTCCCCATTCCACTTCGATCTCACCCCCCAACCTCCGCCAGTCAGATCGGCGGGCAGGTAATCCTATTGGTAGACAGCGAGGTCGAGGGATAGACACATTGCGAATTCGATCGAACGCCAATCGCAAATCGACAGCTGCGCCCATCCCTCCACCGACCTCCTTATCACCCAAAAGGTGGCCTATGATAGATAACTGTCCTAGATGTATGTCTAACGATCTTGTTATCTGCCTGATTATCTCGCTATCTGCTCAACCGCGGGACAACCACTGGGGCACCGCAAGGGATAATCGCCAGACGGACACGGGATAACCGGGGGACGACCACGCGACAAACGCACAGGGCAACTACAAGGGACAACCAGGGGACTACCACTAGACTATCACAGGACAGCCACGCGACAGCCCCCAGGTCAACCGCACGGGACATTCGCGGGGCAACCACACGGGCCGACCAGACGGGAAATCGGCGGAACTACCCAGGAACGCTAGCGCCGGGCACAGGACAACCGCGGGATAACCACGGAATGACCTGGGGACGGCCCCAGCACGCTCGCGCTGTTCACGCAGCGCGAAACAATCTGGCGCACGTGCACATAGCAATCGGAGGATCACTCTCACACTCGCAAAGCCTCGCGTCGCCCGCACGCACGGCACGAACCGAAGCCGAAATAAGCTTCCCGGTTCCCCACGTAAAGAAACTCCGTTTCGCTTCGACCTCACACCCCAACTTCCGACACTGATAGGATGGTAAAGAGATGCGGTCGACACATACGATAAAGATCGTGCTATCAGAAATCGTGGCGCACATTCCTCGTCGATCATTGAGGGTCCCAAGATGCCCTAGAGCTTCTGTGGGTCCCTGGGGCCATCGGGGGATCAGAAATTTCTGTTGGGCGCCCGCTGGTAGAAGGATGTATTATTTGATGTGCCTTCTGTAAAAGTAGGGAAAGAAAGAGGGAAAGGGAGCACGGAGCTGGATAGAGCGGAGGGGAGCGGAAAGCAGAGGAGAGCCGAGCGCAGAAGGGGAGAGCAGAGGGGTGAAGAGGAGACGAGAGCAGATACGAAGAGAGGAAGAGATCGGAGATCAGAGAGAGAGAGGGATAACAACAAAAACGAGAGGACATTTTTAAAGAGAAAGGGTTGCGGAAAGAGACGAGCAGGAGGCAGCCAGAGATAGGTCAGAGAGGTGGGCTGAGTACACTGGCAGAGTGGGCAACAGAGAGTGTCAGAGAGAGAGAGGGACATGGAACTATGAAGACAGCCAGGACCAAGACATAAACAGGCAAAACCTCAGCAGAAACATTGTGAGTTGGAGGCGTCGGTTGACAAGACTGGTAGATGGATTGATGAATTCGCCTGCGCTGTAAGGGATCAAGGCGGGCAATTTTGAGCCGC